AATCTTCTAGAAAAACACGTTTTGATTTCTGTTTCATTTTTAACAATCATCTATTTTCTATATTTTCAAACTACTTTACTTAGTACTTAAAGGTCAGTCAGGTTATTGTGAACTGGTACCTTTCATACTATATATTTCTTTTTGACTTGAACTCTATTTTGTACAATTTATCCTGCTTCCCTTGCCTTATTTGAATTTTCCCTTGGCCGGAAAATCTTGGCCCATCCTTGTATTTTTAACCTTTGTCATTTTGTTTTAGTGCATCTCTTATTTGCATCATATAATTCCTCACTTATCACAAATAGCTGCCCAGTTTCCATGGTGTACTGGGCAGTTCTTGATGCTGGAGAAACAACAGCAAACAAAACAAAGGATATAACTATGGGACGATCACATACATTAAACAAGTGTGACCCATGGAATGTAACCATCAAGTAACTTATTTTTATTTTTATTTACCGGCGTGCCTTCAGATTTATTTGTGGGGTTAGTTCTTTCTCGCACTGACTTCTTTTCTCCTCTAGGCGCCCACAAAGTTGAGTTAAAAAAATACCCATCTTAGTTCATACTGTCCTCTTTTTTTTAGATTCCACAGACACAGACTCGCAGACATAGTAAACAATCTTACGGTTTCCAGGAAAAGGTGGTGGGAAGGGATAAATTTGGGAGTTTGAGATTTACAAATGTTAGCCACTATATAAAAAACTAGATTTTTAAAAAGTTTCTTCTGTAGAGCACAGGGAACTATATTCAATATCTTGTAATAACCTTTAATGAAAAAGAATATGAAAATGAATATATGAATGTATATGCATGGCTGGGACATTGTGCTGTACACCAGGGACTGACACATTGTAATTGACTGTACTTCAATAGACAAAAAAATAAGACGGGGAGGAGCAATAGCAGTGCCAGGAAAGAGAGGAAAAGCCAACAAAACATACTTTTCTCATGGAGGGTTAACCTGTAAAAGGCCCGAGTTGGCAAAGGGAGTTATCTTTAAATAGAGTTTAAATTTTGATTATTATTTGACGTATTAATTACCACCTGAAGGAAATGAGAAAAGTCACAGAACCTGTCTTAAATTTTATCTCAGGACAGGGGAAGAACCAGTCCCCTTTGCATAGATTCCTTTCTCTTCCTTCCACATCCAGCTATATTGTTGCTATAACCTGGGGTCCAGATTACATTTATTACATTGTAATTTCTATAAGCCTTCTCTTTTGAATTATTTTTACTATATGCATTTGATTTTCTAACTATATTTTCAATGATTATTTAGAATACATTCCATTTTGAATTTATTTTCAAATTGCAACCACATTTTTTTATATCATGTACTTCCTATTCTAAATTTTGATTACTTCTTTTCTAGGGTAGAATATAAGTTCTTACATATCTGAGAGAACATATCTGTGGTCTAAGTAAATGATTGGCAATGTACCAGGTTTTACGTTCGTGAGTCTCACATTCTCCCCTTACTAACTTGTGATCTTTGATTCATTGTCTTCAGGCATTAGTGATACCCAAGAAAAGTTTGAAGTGAGGCTGGTTTTGTTCCTCAGTAGGAAACCAAATTTTTGTCTGAAAGGCTACAGAAATTTTTCATTATCCTTGATGTCCAGGAAATTTGCCAGAATAATTGATGGTTAATTTTACATACGTTGTCTGGAATACAGTGTGCCTTTTAAATCTGCATACTCTGTACTTTTTATAAAATTTTCCTTAATTTTGATACCTTGAATCCTTAGTTTATTGTTCTTGTAGACTTGCAAGTAAATCAAAGTCTTCATCAAATTCAAATTCAAACATATAATGCATAATTCTTCTACACTCATTTATTTTGATACAGAAATATTTGAGTAATAAGAGTGATTCAATAATATTTTTTAATGTATAAAACTAGCTTCTTAAAAAGTGTCTAACAACCCTTCATGAAGTCTAAATGTTCAGATGGTGTTATCATGACAATTCAGGATCAGGGTGTGGTTGGAGAGGCGATCAAAGGGACTTTAGAGGATGTTAAAGCGCTTGTCTTATTCAGGAAAAAAACAGAGCATTCATAAGTTTAAGAAACTATAGTAAAATAAATATAAAAATGAGTACTCACAGAAGAATAAAAATAGAACGCATAATGGTCACATCTGACAAATAAAATTTTACCTACTGAGTGGAAAGTAGAAATTCAGAAATAAAATAAAGTACAGTAAATAGAAAGTATAAAATAAGATAGCATTAAGTCCTAACACAGCACAAATTAAAATAAATATAAATGGGTTGAACTAATGTTAATTCAGATTCACTCAGGCTGAATTAAAAACGACAACAAACCAGATCTGGCAACACATGCTCCATATATTACTGAGGACTTGCGGCAGGCATACTGTGTGTGAAGGGACATGGGGACAGCAGCAGATCTTCCAGACTGTGAAGGTAAGCTAAAGAAGCGCTTTGACATCCGCCAGAGTTTTCTAACTTATACAAGGCGGTCTATATGGGGAGGCAAGGGAGGATGAAACAAACGAGCAATCACACTGAGGGACATCTGTGATGTCCCTCAGATCACATCAGGTTGGAAGCAGAGCTGTAGTGTAATGGCCATTCCCAAGGACCCTACCTCCTAATCCCATCCCCCTGGGGGTTAGGATTTCAACATATGAATTTGAGGCAACATGAACATTCTGTACAAAATACTAGCTCTCTCTTCTCCGCCATTATTTTTACATCATCAAGATTTGTGGCACTAACTTGTTATAATTCTGTAACTTGATAAATCACTGGTGCTTTGTCTATTGGTTGATTTGATTACTGCAAGCAGTCAACATCATTGATAACATTACAAGTATACAAATATATTTCACGGCAGATTGGGCGGGCCATCTGGTAACCTTAGCTGGGAAGGGAGTTCTGCCCTCTCTAGGGTAGGTCCGTACTTTTCTGGCATCTATGGAAGACGTGAGTAATTCTATCTAACCCTGGATTTCAGCACTGGGAAGCCAGTTTTTGATCACACGTCCATGCTATGTTTACAGCAGTGCTATCAGTAATAAGCAGCCCAGAATTCAAGCTCTGGGCAGGCAGGCAGGTGCCACAAGAGAAACGAAGAGGAAAGGACTAGTTTCCCAAACTCAGATACGTCCTGCACCTGCCTGGGGGAGGAGTTAAGCCAGAGGGCAAAGACAGGTCCGGGGTGTGACTTCAGAGAAAGGAAATGTGGTGGGTGAGACGCGCTTTTCCTTGCATCGTTCTCCCTTCTAAGGCTGTTTCCCCGCACCTTCCCTCTCTCGCCATTCTTCAGGCTTTCTCTAATATCTCGTCTTCCACCTGGGCTCCCCCAACGAGGGTCTTCTGCCATTTCTCTCATTCCCACGTGGCTTTCATCGCCTGCCTGGCTGGGTCTCTACTGAACCCATAATTTGCAGCCCCGTGTGCTTACCCTCCTCTTCTGTAGATCCGAGGACTTACGAGGTGCACACAAGGGAGGTCAGAGGAGAAAATATCTTCAGGGCAAATTAAGGCCACAAGCAAGCACTTGGACGATCACCCCAATACACTATCTATTCCTTGTAGCAGGCCTGCGGAATTATTCGCACCCCTATCTTATAGAGGCATACACTGAATCTTAGAAAAGTTAGATGACTTGTCCTCTACCCCACAACTGCAAAGTGGAAGAACCAGAATTCCAAGCTAAGTTTTCTTATTTTGGGTCCCTTGCTCTGTCCCCTCTAACATTATGGCTCATTTTTAGAACTGTTAATTTTTTAAATTTTTTCCTGTTTGGTGCCCCTTGATTCGCTTGCCTCTTTCTCTTTAGCCTACAAATTAGAGAAGAGAAAGCCAGGGGAATTCTAGGGGACAGACATACCAGAGGATGGCTTTTCCTATATGTTTGAGAGAATCTGTATAAAAGTACTTTAACAATTAAGTGCGTACACATTACTTGTTTAGTAGGTGCTACTATCTTCCCAACGCACAGTCCCTGATAATCCACATCTGACTGATTATCTCTTTAACTCCCAAGTGTCACATTTGGACACGTGGGTGGAAGCAAGGGGCACAGTCCATTTCCTAAAGATTCCTTTTTTAGCTGGTAAATCTCCCTGGGAGGACAGGCATTGTTTCCATCACACTTTGGATGGGAATCAATGGGTAAATAGTGCTTTTCCCAGCTGGAAGGTCTCAGCTAACTTCTGCTTCATTTCCTCATCACCCACACCCTCAACTGGACCCACTTCCCTTAACTTCAGGCTCAGTCTTGCCCAGTCCCAGAAGTATCTTTTCAAATCATCAATTAATTTTTTTTAAGAAAAAGTTATCATAAAACATTTCACACAGACACGAAGACAGAAGAGTAAAATAAAAGCCCTATGTATCCATCATTCAGAATCGACAGTTATCAAAATTATACAACACTGTATACACACACACACACACACACACACACACACACACATATGTAGTTTTTTTGCTGAAATATGTTAAAGCACACACCAGGCTTCATGTCAAGCCCCTCCCCCCTCAACATACTGCAGTCTGGATTGAGGCCAGGTTGTTAAATGTCACCAGCACTCCTCTAAGAGGTACAGATTTTATTCTCTAGGTTCATGATTCAGCAAATTATTTCATAAACATCCCACACGTTTGGTGTTCAAATTTATAACTCAACTATATCAAGAAGAAATTAAATGAATCAACAGATTGTGTTCCCCTCAGTATCTAGAAGGAAAAAAGTATATATAATTTTAAAGAATGGATCACTGGGTCAATAGATCCACTAAGTTATGGCTCAGCTGGATGGAGAGGAAGGAAAGTCTAGCCGGGATGGCTGCTCCCCAACCAACCACTGCAGAGCAGGAGGCTCTGACCTCCCTCCCCAGCCAGGCCACCAGCATGACTGCCCATGCAAGCTCTGCCCCCGCCTGCACAGTCTCCACTCAGCTGTGCAGCAGCAGGCTGTCTGCCAGAAGGAAGCCATTCTTTAAGACCAGCTAGAGTCCCACCTGCTCAGTGAAGGCTGTCCTAATTATGGCTTCCAATTGGTGCCGTCTCGAGCATACCATCCAGCCATTGCAGTCTCATGCAGACATCCTGTCTTCTCAGGTGGACTGCAACGACATCAAGGGTAAAACCTGTGGTTAGCCTTCTACCACTAACTTCCGGTGCTCAGTAAATATGTATAAAGGAGCAAAGGAAGCACAACTTGAGCTTTCCTTTGGGGTGCAGTTGTTAGTGTCAATTTTTCTGCGCAGAATCAAGTCACAAGAAGAGAGAGAGAGAGGGAAACCTGCAGGGGCATTTCAGTCTGAGAACAGGGATGAAAGAAAGGTTGGGTTGGCTCCCATCCATCCACTTGTTCAACTCGCCCTACAAGTCCTCTTAAGTCCTGCACATTCTCTTTGCTTGAATAACCTACAAACACTCCTTTCTTTTTCTTCCCTTGCACCCGTGACTAGGGCAATTGTCTGCTGTTGGCACACATTGTGGTATGACCACATGTTTAAGAATCATGAAACCCTACGTAAGAAATCAGTCCCTAAATGAACCGTTACCCAAAGCAACAGGCTCATTCCTGCAGCAGCACCACGGTGCCACCCAGTGGACAGTTTCTGAACAATTCGATCCCTTGTGAACTGGCGAGTGAATCTGGAACCAGAGCACTTGGGCCAGCTCGTCTACAGAAGGGCACATTTTATACTCTGCATTCTTGTAACTTGGTTGTTTGATGAACTCCAATAATTGCTTCACTTAAACGTCTTGAAATTTTATTCTCTTTAACCCCTACTCGATTTTCTTAAGAAAATTCCTAATGAAAGCATTTGTGATGTACAATATCACGGGCTCTTACTTTCAATTTTACTCTATTTTGGGAGAAAGCCAGTTCCCCATTATCTTTGTGTGAGCTTCTAAAAGGTTAATTCTCTTTCCTAGAGAAGTCTACGTAAAGCGTATGACCACATGTTTAAGAATCATGAAACTCTACATAAGAAACTAACCAATGCGCATTGCCTAGGTGTGGTTGGATGTTGCAGATTTTCTGGAACTAACCTATTTAGAACATCGAACATCTGGCGCTGGAACAACTGGACATCCATATACAAAAAATGAACCTCAACTCTTACTTTGCAGCGTATCTGAAAATGGATGTAGTTAAAGGTAACCCAAGCCTCAGCTGACTGCCCAATTTGAGAAAATCTTTGAAGAAACAGGACAATTCTGGTACACCTACACTCTCTCCTACTCACCTGAGGCTAAAGATCTCTCCCCTGCATTTTCTTCACTAGAGGCCCCATGGAATGCATTTTCTTTCTTTAAAAAAAGTATTTGCTCAATTTAATATTTAATTTTTATTAAAAGTCTTTCTTGGCTTTATACAACTTTGGTCAGTGCATATTTTTGTTCTAGATGAGAAGACTGGAAAAGTTTTGAATTTATATATCAGAAATAACTCATAAATTGTAGGCAAGTGCACTGTACTAACAGCCAAGAGGTCCAAGGAGTGACCCCAGATCTGTTACCAACAGCCCGCATGGCCGCATACAAGACATGCTTAAGACTCAATCTCTCTTACTTCCCAAAATATTGGTTAGGTGGTTAGTGTTCCGTCCTTTTAAAATTCTGTGTATTTCTAAATTTTCTTTAATGAGCTTGTGTTATATTGTTAATAAGGAAGTTGGGCAGGATCTGTTAGTTTCTTTCCCTGCCTCTTATTTGGTGTTTTTCAGGACTGTGTATATTTGCAAGTCCTCACAATTTGAACTCCTCACTTAAAAACGCTATTGATCTTGAGATCTCAGATTAGTTTTGTTAAATACTTATGAAGCGTTTCTCAGAACTGTGTATTTCTGTCACATTTGCTAACTGTGTATTACGACAAATGTATTTCTATGTATTTTTTTTTGGTCAAATTTCAAGTTTAAGTCAGAATTTAAGTGCTAGATGCCCTAAATGTGTCATCTAGAAACATCTCTACCATTTCCCTCTAAGCATCTGATGATGGGGGAACTCACTTAATGTGTCAGAGCTTCTGTTCTCTTATCTGCAAAGTAGTGATGATAAATCCAGCTGAACAGGTCTGGTTGTTCTAGTGTTCAAGAGAAATAAGGTTCGAGGTAGCATGCTGAAAACTTGGAAGGGCAGCTCGGATGGGAATCTGTCATTTAGTAGAAGAAACCAAGGAGGGGTGGTTAGGAAGGTTGGGGATACAGTAGAAGAATCAGGGGTGACTCAGAACCAGAAGCAAAGATGGATGCTACCCTCTTGGGGGGCTGTCAGAACCATTAGCTCTTCCTGGTCCCCGTCTCCTCCTTGTGGGAATGATGGGAACAGGTATGGCCTTCTGTCCAGGATCCGTCTAGCACAGATAGCAGGGAGACACAGTAAGTTGGACGTCACAGGTTGAGGATCAATAGAGTAACAGAAGAATGAGGGAAGAAACAGCAGGAAAGGAAAGGGATGGAATTAACACTACATTACCACGTGTGGCAAGGCAGGATGTGTTTGCTAAAGAATCTTTCTTCAGACAAGGATGGCTTCTGAGTTCCCAGTGGTAGGAATAGAAACTTCAACTGATGAATATAAAGTAATCATTAAAAAAGTAAACCACCAAAGAACGAGAGGGATGTTCTAGTAAACAAAAAAGACGAGGACTGTGTTCTTAAAAACCATCAACATCATAAAAGACAAGGAAAGGGTGTGGAAATGTTTCAGATTAAAGGAGGCGAAAGAGACGCGACAACTAACTACAATACTCAATACTCGTTTGAGGCTGAGTCCTGTTCTGGAGGAGACGAAATGCTCTAAAACATTATCTGGTCAGCTGACAAAATTGGAATATGGATGGCAAATGAGATAAAAGAACTATGCCAATGCAAAATTCACTAAAGTTGAAAACTGTATGACAGTTACGTAAGCAAACAGCCCTATTCTTAGGAAACACTGACCTACTTAGGGGTGATGGGCCATGATACTTGTAATATCTCCAACTGGTTCAGGGGCAATATTTATCTCAAAGGAGAGGGAGAGAGAAAGAGGGAGTGAGCAAATGGGGTCAAGTGTTATAAATAGGTGATCCGGGTGAAAGGTGTTATATTCTCTGTGCTCTCCTTTTAAAAATTACTTATTTATTTTATCTTTTTATTTTGGGGGTAGGTAATTAGGTTTGTTTGTTTGTTTGTTTTTAATTTATGTATCTTTAACGGAGGCACTGGGGATTGAACCCAGGACCTCGTGCATGCTAGGCACGCACTCTACCACGGAGCTCTCCCCTCCCCCCTTCTGTGCTGTTCTTCTTTGCACAACTTTTCTGAAAGCTTGAATTTATTTCCAAACAACAAAAATTTTAAAAAGTGAAACAAATATTTTAATGAGGTCCTCTAGTCATTCTTGTCATTGGTTTTAGCTATTATAATAAGGAAGCGTATGCAGGGCTCCTAACCATTTACAGAGTGCTTTCATATATATTACTTTATTTAATCCTCATCGAGAAAGCCCCGTGTTACAGATAAAGGAACTGAGCATCAGAAACTTCTTGTGAGAGCTTCACGAAATCATCTCTGTATTCTCCCCGCCTTGCCCCGTGAAAGAGAAGAGAGGCAGGCAAGGCTGAGGGACTGACCTGCCCCACACTGCAAACCTAGAGTTGCACGGGCAGGACTGAGACTCAGAGCTCAGCACTTCTTACTACTTTGCAGCTATCAAGTACCACAACACACACTCAGACCTTAGACCAGGATTAGCCAACATTTAATTACCCTTCGATGATTCGCAAGTCACATACTCCTACAGCGCCTTAGGCTAACTTTCATACCTGCCATTTATCATCTGGTAGGTAAAGGAAATAACAGTTGGAAAAAATGTTAATCAAATCCTGGAAGAGGGAGACTATTCTGCTGTAAATTCCGACATGTTGCTTTTATCAGTGGTGCTATTTAACCTAATAGATAAAATTATACAGACGTTTAGATTAAACATGACAATGAAAAAGATGTTATCAAGATATCTACACTGTTTATTTTGGTGGCAAACCTTACTCCAAATATGAAATTTTGTATATTGTTATTTTGAGCCCTTCAAAATCTTTTATTTTTATCCTCAGTATTCTTTTCCCAGCTTTAATTTCAGCCTTTAAAGTGAAAATCCTGGAGAGCTAAAGACATTTGCTCTAACAGGTGAAGAAGAGACATGTTACCGGCAGCAGAAATGGTTTCCTGGAATGAGTTATTGATCTTCTAGGTTTTAGTCACTGTGAAGTATTTTTTGACATTTGCTGGATTTGGTTTTCTTTTTAAAGTGCAAGAAGTTATACTAATTAAAAGCAATAGTGGCATAAGAATGAAGAAAAACAGAAGTGCTAAGAGCAAGAATGGAATCCTAGAGGGCTGGTGTCTGGGAAGGGCTACGTGGTCTAAATGGACCTACTGGGGTCATGCAGAAAATCTCCTATCAGTGGCAGCTGTGGGAATACGTCCTGACCAGGGCCACGTCGTGACTGGATCTTCAGGCAGCCTGTACTGGCCTATTTCTATTATGTGAGTGTTGAATCTAATTCTGGGTGATCATGTGTAGAGAGATGTGTGACAGCGGGGAGATGACAAAGGTGTCATCTGGGAAGGACACCTGGCCATTTGACAAAGCCTGAAAGGTGATTAGATAGCTGATTGTGGCTTATCACTCAAGCCTTCAGGAGCAGTCCTTTGGGACAAGTAGACACAGTTTATGACCCCTCAATCTGCACTCAGCTCTCCATCTCTTTTCTGATCTGTTGCATGGCCCCACTCATCACTAAATTAAAATTGGGATGCCAGTTGATTCTTAAAGCTTAGCCAAAGGAAAATGTTTTAAGCAGTGATCCTCACACGGATTCCCATGGGCATGATTCCTAGCAAGTGAATCTTCTCCTGCGAGTTATCCATCCTCTGTGAGTGCTCAGTTTGGTAGATTAGAACCTCACGCGCATGTAAGCAGACAAGCATACGGGCTTCATTTTAGGGAGAACAAATTTACTCCTCAATTCTTTAGTCAGTATTATTTTTACTGAGCACCTGCTGTATGTCATGGATTGATGATTCAAAGATGAGTCAGGCTGACTTTCTGCTTTTATAATTGG